TATATATATATATATATATATATATATATAATCAGTCATAAAAATTCCTTGCTGATGCCTCTCGCAACAAAAATTATGTAAGTAGCATGAGCTACAGCTTGAAACAAAAGAAAATGTAAATTGTGTACTCACCACAATCATAATAGATGCTGGAAAAGTTATCCTCTTCACTTGTTTCCAAGTGATCTGCTTTCTACCAACATAAATGTAATGTATAATAGGAGGCCTTGATTTGGTTCGATGTGGAGAGACATAAATCAGAATGTATAAAGTTATTGCAACAAATTATAGGGCTAATCTTCGATAAATACTCACTTTGAACTGTGTCCACGTTATGTCACACGGATGTTAGCAGCAAGTCTACTGGTCCAGCATGTCTCAAAACGTTTATTCCATAAAATAATTTAGAAAAATGTCATTGCTTATAATGCAATAATGTAACTAAAGATATAATTGGTAATTATTATGGAATAACAGATTCCTAACGCACAGCATTCCCCACAATCATTAATTAATTGATTAGGATCTCAGAGACGCATTGCAATGCATTGCCGGATTAAGAAACATTACACAAATTGCCTAAAGGGGACCGTAAAGTCAGTTTTTAAATTCTTCATACATCGTTTCAGAGTTGAGCTCGAAATTAAGAAATTTGTTTTATAATTTTTCATGAAGTAATAAAATGTTAAAATTAAATATTTGCACACAACCTGTATTCTTGTGTTTCCAATAAAGTTTCATAAATGAGATTTCATTATTAAATTTCCATAATGTAGGATATAAAACATTTGATATCCTCAGTGAAATATGATAATGATTCGAACGTTGAAATAGTTTCACATATGACGTCGTACGGCTCAATCTAGACGAGTAAAAGTTTATTATCGCATCTCTGTAAATATATAGTATTATGTATTAGTAAACAACCTCCGAGGTGGTAAAATATTCATAATTCCTTTTTTTTAATGTATGACATATATAGACGCAACGTGTCTCCTAGAGCGTTGAGCGCACCGTGGTGTAATGCACCGTCAAGTTTATTAGCACCCAGCACCCTCTAGGGGCCGCTGGGTAGTGAAGTCACGTCAGTCGCTGTCAAGTCAGGGAATCGCCGATAGGTAGCGTCCACTCGGCCTGCGTCGTCTTCCCAGCAGCCAGAATTAGGAAAGAATAACAATAGTGGTAAGGTTTAGGACGCTTCACAGGGGTTTGGACTAGCCCCTGTGAAACAAGGAAATTTCACATGAGGTTCTACGGGAATTGTACGAGAATCGAACCTGGAGCCTCAGGGGTGAAAGGGAAGATACTTCGCCACTGAACAAGGAT